CTTCGGGTTCAGGGGTGTCGACGTGAGCTTCGGGTTCAGGGGTGTCGACGTGAGCTTCGGGTTCAGGGGTGTCGACGTGAGCTTCGGGTTCAGGGGTGTCGGCGTGAGCTTCGGGTTCAGGGGTGTCGACGTGAGCTTCAGATTCAGGGGTGTCAAAATGAGTTTCGGGTTCAGGGGTGTCTATGTGAGCTTCTGGTTCTGGTGAGTCAACAAAACCTTCTGGTTCAGAGGCATGGGCAGACACTTCTGGTTCAGAAGTGTTTGTGTGAGCTTCGGATTCAGGGGAGTCGACGTGAGCTTTGGGTTTAGGAATGTCGACGTGAGCTTCGGGTTCAAGGGTATTTACAGGAGCTTCTGATTCAGGGGTAGAGACAAGAGCGTCTGGTTCAGGGGTATAAACGGGAGCTTCTGGTTCAAGTGTATCAAATGGTGTTTCTGGTTCAAGGGTAGAGTCAGTAGCTTTTAGTTTAAGTGCATCGACAGGGGTTTCTGGTTCAAGGGTATTAACAGTAGCTTCTGGTTCAGGGTTATCAGCAGTAGCTTCTGGTTCAGGGTTATCAGCAGTAGCTTCTGGTTCAGGGTTATCAGCAGTAGCTTCTGGTTCAGGGTTATCAGCAGTAGCTTCTGATTCAGGGGCATAAATGGGAACTTCTAGTTCAAGGATATTGACTGGAGTTTCTGGTTCAGGGTTACCAACAGTAGCTTCTGGTACAGGGTCACTGACAGGAGCTTCTTGTTCAACGATACCCTGTTTTGCTGCAAGGAATGATTTTGGAACAATGGTTAATTTTTTGTTCGCAGAAATCATTAAATGGTGATCAGCTAAAATGGTAGTCGACTGTATAGGTGACACAGGGTCTAATTTCCTGTAGGTAACTTTAATTGTAGTTGGAGTATTAAAGGAATGGGAAGGTTTTTCACAAGACAATTCCAAACCAGGAGAAGGTGGAGCTGTGAGGACCATATGAGAAGCCGTAGCGTCAACTGTGGAAGACTGGGTTTTAGATGCATCAGAAGTATTAAGAGATGAAAAAGACAAAGCAGGCCGTGGCAAAATAATAATGGTACGAGGTACATTAGTGGGCGATCCCACTTTGAGCCGAGGAAGTGGAAGCGACTGTATAACTGTTTGGGTTGCAGCAGTTGGTGATAAAGCTGAAAGTACCGGCAATGTAGCATTGTTAAGAATGGGCACAAGTTGAGGTTGTTTAGGTGCAGTTTCTTCATTTTGAAGCACTGTGTCATTTGATAAACCAGTACCTGTCATATTTGAAGAGACATCAAGGGTGTCTGTTGCGTGATGAATTTTAACAAGTGGTCTCTGCTGCACTGCTAGACTTTCTGTAGGACCCGCAAGGGGAACATGTGTCTGAGGTTGTGATGGGACTTGTGTCAGAGAGAATGTATTCTCAAGGGTCGACTGATTCATGGCTTCAATGAGCAGCATTGCATCCTGAAGGCTTACAGAAGACTGTCTTTCATTGAGCAGATCTGAAGATGCTTGTGGTGACTCACTTTGTGGAGGGTTTGTTGTTTTACTCGCTGAAGAAGCTCTAAATACTCGAACTTCAGTTCTCTCTTTTTCCACTTCTAGGAAAAGCTGTGAAGATTTAAGGGGTGGCTGCTTAGGAGGGGAAGAATGTGTCTTGCTTTTTTCCTCCATCGCAGGAGTGTTTGCATTCCATTTGCCTGGTGGGGAGAAGCTGGAGCAAGTCTCTAAAACCTCGCTTGCAGATGCTTCTGAAGGTTCTGATGGAGAGGCATTTACTGCTGCTTGAGCACCAACTTTTTTTTGAGTCTTAGGAAGATTTTGTTTTGCATTACGTTTTTTGGGGGGGCGTCCTCTTCGGCGGCGTGCTGGATTGGTATTAGCAACATCATCTTCTACATTACCTTTTACTTCTTCATCAACTACTTCTTTTCTGATCAGTTCAGACTCTGCGAACTGGTTAGTTGTACAGGCCACATCACCATGTTGTTTCACAGTACCTTCAGTTTGCTCATCAAGTAATGATGCCTTGTCCAGGTGATACCCTTCAGGGACTAATTGCTGTTTTTGAGATCTGAGATCTTCGGATGTGCCCATTTTTGGAGTCATTTGATAAACTTCATTCTCCTCTTTAATATCTTCTCTGAAAGCATCCGTAAGTGAAATAACCAGGGAATGATTTAAGCCAGATGGCTGGTTCTGGGCTACCTCATGACTGCTGTCTGTTCCAAAACAAGGTAGTTGCAGGACCATCTGAGTTGCATCCCTTTTTTGAGATGGAATTTGTTCTACTGAAGATCCTTTGCTGATTCTCGATTCTTCACATTCAACGCTAACAGAAGCTCCTACCAAAAAATGGTCAAAACAAAGAAAATAAAAAAGCAATTAAAAATACTGCTGAAAACTATTATAAAAAAATAAACTAAAATGTTGTAGCCTGCTTTGTGTGGTTTACATTATGAACTCCTTACCCGTTTTAGACAAGACTTGTTCAGAGATTAAATCAGATTCTTCTTCCTCTTGCTTCAAGGAAGACTGCAGAAAATCAGAGCCACTGTATGATTCCTACAAGGGCAAATTTGTGAAAGGTACACAGAAGAATTTTTGGTGCCAACAAAATTCACACATACCTCTTGTTTGACATGAACAATCTTTGGACCTCTGCACCCATTACTGACGTAATTATGGTCCTGCCAAGTGTAGCCCACACTGTCATGGGTGCTTTGTTGCTCTTGGTTTTGCTGTGGAGATTCCACCAAAGGCTGACATTCCTCCACCAACACAGTGCGGTAAGGAACAAGATCTGCAGTTATAAAGATAGAACTCAGATGAACTAGTTAGTTAAATTTATCAGTGTCTCCCCTACCATTATACAGGCGGGGCTTACTACCTTATCAATAATTACTGCCTTTTTTCCTTTCTCTGTGGGTGGGGGGTCAGCTTCACGCAGCTGCAGTGAACACCTCCCGAGAACGCACACGTTTCCTGGACTATTTTCCACCGATGATTACGTCGTATTTTATATTTACAGCGGGTAAAATAAGTATTGAACACGTCAACATTTTTCTCAGTAAATATATTACTAGAGGTGCTAATGACATGAAATTTTCACCAGATGTCGGT